TCATCAGTATCAATCAAGGAAAAAGGTGATATTGAAATTTTATTAACCACGGGAAAATTTACTTGGTGATGTTTGCCAAGTTCACAAGACTCACAATGCAATGTGTTGAAATAAACATTCTTAAACAAATTAGAGAACATAGATTTCATCAAAGAAAAAAGGTGAATGAAGTCACCTACAATGTTCTAACCACACTGTATTGACACTATTCTTTGATAATTCTGGGCAGTAGACAAATAAAACAACTGAACAATGCATTTGACATCTAAAGTCAACAATCAAATCAGTAAATGCGACAATTTTTAGCATAGCCAACAAAAAGAAGAACTACGCAAAAGAGGAGAAAGGAGAAGAAGAAATCAGAATTACCAGAAGAATTTCCATAAGGTTGTAGAATTATTTTGAAGAAGAAGGAAAAGAAGAAGAATTGTCAAGAAGAAGATAAAGAAAAAAATAAAAAAAAGGTAGTAAAAGATGAAGAAGAATAAGCCATGCCTGCATTTAACGAAGGTGGATCGATAAATATGAAATAAATTTAACTTTTGCATGAAACAAAGGGTCAACCTACTGCTATAAAGCTCAAGCCATGCCCAGAATCACATGGAGTTTCTTAGAAGCATATTTATCATGAATCCTTCAACAACAATACTTGCCAAGAAGAGGAAGACAAAGAAGATAAATAAGAACAAGAAGAAGAAGAATTGCCCAAAAGAGGAAGAAGAAGAATCATCACGAAGAAGGAAAGGGAGAAGAGTAACCAACATCAGCTTTTCTTGCTCATAAAGTTATCTTTTTGAAGATCAACAAACTTCTCCACTTTGAGTCTCCAAAATGTGAAAAAGAAGTATTAGTAAAAAGAATTATCAAGAAGAAGAGGAAGAAAAAAAAAGAATTACGAAGAAGAAGAAGAATTGACTAAGTTACCTTGGCATAACTTCTGCACGGAGCATGATGGCACTGATATTTGTACTTAAAATATGAAGGTGAGAATTATGATCCTCGTGGCACTTCCTGGGTTAACGGTTTGACACATTAATTATGATTTCTTTTCATTTTACTTATTATGACACATTAACTATTCATTTGTACCTCAAAATATTCTCCCAACTTTGGTTATACCTCATTCATTACTACGTTATAAAATGAAATTTTTTAATTAAAATTGGGGTTTTATTACAAAATAATATGCTACTTCTACGATAGAGTCAGGTTGAAAGTTAAAGTTTTGGACACTTACACATTTTAATAATTTTTTATAAAATATAAAATTAATCAATTCAACTTTTAATTAAAAAATTCTAACTAAATAAAGTTTATAAAATCGTTTTTTTTTTTGGTAATTACACCTGTGTGTCATATATAGATTAGTGGTAGGTTAAGGATAAAGTTGTGGGCATCAGTAGCAATTGCTTCTTTCCCCGTGGCATTATTTTTTCCCATCATCACGTTTTTTCAGTATACTTGTGGCAAAGAAAATTGGCTCCTAACCAACCATCCCAATCTGATCACGTAGCAGCATAAATAACTCTACTTATGAGGTTGAGAAAGGTAAGAAAGAAAGGAAGCAAAACAGGACACAATGTATAAAAGAAAGTAAGCAAGCAAAATGTAGGAAAAAAAATTAAGGAATAAAAAAAGAAGAGAAAAAAGTCAAAAAAAGAAAGAGAGCAAGAAAAAAAGATGAAAAGAAAGAAAGAAAGAAAGGAAAGGTAAAAAAAAGAAAAAATTATCATTTTTGTCCTTTAACTTTAAGGTAAAATTCACTTTAATCTTCTAAGTTTTTTTTTTTTCAATTTAATCCTCTAAGTTTTATTTTTTTTCCTACTTTAGTCCTTTCCGTGACAACCGTTAGAGAACGTAACAAAAGCATCCTATATGCCACTAACGACATTTATGTTATTTTTATTTATACACAAATATAAAAGTCAGTTATTTAATCTTATAAATTTACCTCATAGTTTCTACATCTCCAAAAACTCTTTCCCATATTTGTTATTGTAGTTGCTATGCAATAAACACTTTTCACACCACAGTAACAAAATGGATAGTCAACCCCTCTATGAGCAGACATTGTTACTGATGATTGTGAGTCCACCAAAGCCTCAGTCTTTGTTTTGCTATTTCTAAGGGACATAGAACCCTAATTCATATGCCTTAACTCAATTGAAAGAAGAAGACACATAATATAACATTTTTTAATCAATTTTTAAATAAAAATTATCAGGTAGGATTAAATAAATATCGTTAGTGCCACATAGGATGCTTCTGTTACGTTCTCTAACAATTGTCATAAAAAGGACTAACATGGGAAAAAAATGAAACTTAGAAGACTAAATTGAACAAAAAAAAAGATACAGAACAAAAGTGAATTTTACGACCAAAAGATTAATTTTGTCTAAAAATAAAAGAAGTAAAAAAAGAAAAAAAAAAGAGAAAAATGAAAAGAAAGGATGAAAGGAAGAAAACAAAAAAAAGGAAAGAAAATAAGAAAGAAATAATGGAAGGAAGGAAGAAAGAGAGCAAGAAAGAAAGTAAATAAGGAAGAAAGATAGAAAAATGCAATAAAGGAAGGAAATAAGGAAAATAAACAAGAAAGAAAGGAAATAGAAAAAAAGAAGAAGAAAGAAAATAAGAAAAAAAAAGAAAGAAGAAAGAAAGGAAAGAAAGAAGAAAGAATAAAAGGAAGTAACCAAGAAAGAAAGAAAAAAATAAAAATAGAAGAAGAAAAGAAAGAAAAGCAAAATAAAAAAGAAGTAAAGAAAAGAAGAAATAATGCAAAACAAAGAAAGAAAAAAATAAATCAAGAAAGGAAAGAAGTGCAATAAGAAAATAAAGAAAAAAATAAAAATTAAAAAAGAGAATTAGAAAAAAAAGAACAGAAGAAAAGAATCATACACAAAAATTGAAGAAAAACCAAGGGCAAAAATAACAAAAAGAAGAATAAAAAAAAATATCAAGAGAAGAATTGTCAATAATTACAAGAAGAAACCAAGAAGTATAAGAATATTGAAGAAGAAAAAAAAATTACAAAAAAAAACTAAAAATTACCATAAGAACTAATAATTATTAAAAAAAGGAAATAAAATTACTATAACAAATAAAGAATTAATACGAAAAAGAAGAATAATCAAGGGTAATATAAGTATTTATATTAAAATTTTTAATCTCTTATTTTATATAAAAAAATATTTTAAAAAAATTTATAACTTGAAAGATATAATAATATTATTTAAAATAAAATAAATATGTTCTTTCAAAATTATGAGCATTAACACTTAATCAATGTACATAATAAGTTTTTCTATAATTTCAAGACAACCTAACTAACAGTATTGAAGAATCAATTCGGCTAAATATATTAAATTGATAAAAAAAATTAAATAAATCTATAATGAAAAAATCACATTTTTTATACAGTTTGGTTTAATTTTTTATTTTTATATTCAAAATCAAACTAAATTGAATCATAAGCATACTAAATTTATATTAATTTTCTATTCTATTAATTATTATATAAATATTAAACATTATCTTAAAATATATTATATTGAATATATTTATTAAAAAATTTAATTTGTTTTTATCTATAATTTATTCGAAATAATAATTTATTATGAGATTTAATGATTTTAGCATTTTATTCATATGTATTATATATTTATCTTTTTATTTAACAAATATCATTTTTAAATAAAAAATTATATATCAATGAAAAATTCAATACTGTTATTAATTTAATTTTATTTAATAAAAAATTTAAAATGTTAACACACAAAAAAAAAATAGTGTTACGCGGAAGAAGTTAGTGAATGTGACAAAAAAAAATTACTTTTTTGAGGAAAAAAGAAAGGTTGAATTGTATGAATACTCAACATATTTTATTTATTTTTATAATGCATTCCTCTTTCTATGAATATTTACCCTTTTTGGTTCATCAACACCTGAAAAAGAAAAATTATAAAGTAAATAAAGTTGAGCTATTTACATTGTTAAATTTATCAAACCATACAAACAATACTTAACATATGGCAAACAACCCATCCACGAGGTGAACACAAGTCAATGCTATATAGAAGCAATATAGTAGGCAAACACTGAGATGACAAGCACTAAAAGGAAAAATATGATATGAAGAGAAAGGAAAGTTAAAGTGAGTGTTTAAATGTGCTGAAGATAATGCTCCTTTTATTATTATTTTTTTCTTCAATTTTTGTATTCTATTATTTAAAAGTTAAAATAATTAGATGATCTGAACTTTAAAAAAAAAAAAAACCAATGATTATATGTCAACTGAGATCATTATAAGAATTATTATACATTACTTTTTCTGATATTTATCATACTAATTCTAAGGGTAGACAAACAATTTTGTTTTGTGCTATTGTCATTCAAATCAAAGTCTTCGATTAGAAATAATAAATCATGCAAGCATTTGATCAACGCAGTCAGAAAGTTATGTACAGTGCACAATAGTCAAATTATGTGGTCCCCTTCCCTTGAATTTATCGCACATTATTGCTAATTTCGTCTTTAAACAGGTTATTCGCATTAAATGTACAACCTGTCTAAGAGAATATTACGAGATATTTTTAAGTTTAAAGAGTGTATATAAAAATAATTTTCAGTCAGAGTTCATAACTATTATAAGCCTAAAAAACGTTATGCGTGATAAAACTTGAACAGAAATCTTATTTTAGTCTATAAAAGTTATTAAATTTATAAATAGTTATATAATTATTTTCTAAAAAAACAATATTATAGTACCATAGTAGACGAAAATTCACTATTTTAAAAAAGATATTAAGAAAATGTAACAAGTACAAAATAAAGTTCTAATAGATAGATATATGTGCATGACTTTGGGATACAAATGGCAAAATTCTAAGCAAACGGCACGTGCTTGACTTCGGAGTCAAGCTGCAATCAATGATAAAGCCAATAGCATAGGTGTTTCTTTAGGTTAGGTATATGATTATCCTGAACGTGAATTTCGCATTTACATGTTTATTATTCATACAGTAGAATCCATATCATCAATATCCAAATAATTTACCACAAAAAGCTGTGATTCAATGGCCATTATTTCTTTTATGATTATGGTTGCATACATTCTTGTTCCTTCTGTCAAAATTTCCACAGCAATTGATTCTATTGATGTGTTCCAAGGTGTGAGTGATGGAAAGACATTGGTGTCAAAAGGTAGAAAGTTTGAACTTGGTTTCTTCAGTCCCAACAATTCCACCAAACGTTACTTGGGAATTTGGTACAAGAACATCCCAATTCATACAGTTGTTTGGGTTGCCAATGGGGCCAACCCCATCAACAATTCCTTTGGCATATTAACACTAAATAGCACAGGCAATCTCATGCTAACCCAAAATGGGTCTATTGTTTGGTATACAACCTCAGAAAAACAAGCACGGTATCCAGTGGCAACACTTTTGGACAGTGGCAACCTTGTGGTTAGAAATGAAGGAGAAGCAAATTCAGAAGCTTACTTATGGCAAAGCTTTGACTATCCATCTGATACATTTTTGCCAGGAATGAAGTTGGGATGGGACTTTCGAAGTGGTCTTGAAAGGAGAATCACATCCTGGAAGAGTCCAAACGATCCATCTCCTGGACAGTTTTATCGAAGTTTAGTGCCGAATCCTTATCCTGAGTTCTATTTAATGAATGGAACACACAAGTTCCTTCGGTTTGGACCGTGGAATGGCCTATACATTAGTGGCACCGTATATGTAAGGACCAGTCTTTCTACTTCCACAAAATTTGTCTTCAATAAGGATGAATTGTATTACATGTATATCATCAAGAATGATTCTATGCTCACTAGAGTGGTAATAAATCAAACCAGTTATACTCATGATGGCTTCCTTTGGAACGAAGGTGATAACACATGGCACAAAACTTTATCATTTCCAAGGGACTATTGTGACTCTTACGTTCCTTGTGGACCCTTTGGGAATTGCATTGCTACAGAGTCGCCAGCGTGCCAATGCTTAGAAGGATTCAGTCCAAAGTCCCCTCAAGCATGGAACTCATCTGATTGGACTGGAGGATGTGTCCGCAATAAACCATTAAACTGCAAAGACAAACACACTGATGTATTTGTAAAATTTGAAGGGCTCAAACCGCCAGATACTTCGCATACATGGCTAGATGAGAAGATTGGTTTAGAAGAATGCAAAGAAAAGTGCTTGAATAATTGTTCCTGTACAGCATATGCAAATTCAGACATAAGAGGAGGAGGTAGTGGTTGTGTCTTGTGGTTTGGAGATCTCATTGATATTAAACAGTTTTCAGGTGATGAGATAGATCTATATATTCGAATGTCTGCTTCGGTGATAGGTAAACACTAATTAATAGACTATTATTTATTTCCACATATCTTCCCATCAAAATTTTCGTTATTGTATCTACAAAATCTTTAGATTACTCCTTTTCAGGTGATCAAGAGCCTCATAATGGTCGCAAGAAAGTAACAATAGTTGTTACCACTGTAGTTCCAATTTGCGGGATACTTTTGCTTTGTATTTATTTTATCTACAAAGTCCGTAAAAGCATTGCTGGTACTATTCTTGATCTCTCTCAGATTGGCTGAACAAATTTCTTACAAAGGACATTGTAGATGGAACTTCTATTTACTCTTTAAACATGACATTTTAGTTCTGTGATGAAATTATCTATTTTTCCTTCTCCTATTTTGTTCAGGCTTAAATATATTTTTGTGTTCTTACATTTTTTATAATTTTTTCATTCCCTCCAATTATTTTTTATTTTTACTTTTTTTGTAAATTCACTACTTTGAGCCCATAGTGACTATCAAATGAATTCATAGCCAAACAAGATACATCAAAAGTGCTGAGTCTAGAAAACTTAGATACTATAATTTTTTTTTAAAATGAGGGAAAAAAAATATTTTAAGCCTTTTGATGATATTACTGAAGGCCTTTTTTACAATTTCCAGGAAAGTCAAAGACAGAAAATAACATGGATGATTTGGATCTCCCGTTGTTTGATCTGCAAACAATTAAGACTGCTACTATGAACTTCTTGATAGAGAATAAGATTGGAGAAGGCGGTTTTGGACCTGTATATTGGGTAATTCAATATTTGAATAGTATTTTCAATTCAGTTGGGTAAAATTACTTGGGAAACTATTAATATTATAAGGAGCATGTACTAACACGAATCCGAGTTTACAGGGAAAGCTAGTAGATGGACAAGAAATTGCTGTGAAAAGACTTTCAAGAAACTCAAGACAAGGCATGACCGAGTTCATAAATGAAGTAAAGCTAATTGCAAAACTTCAGCACCGAAATCTAGTAAAGCTCCTAGGTTGTTGCATTCAAGGACAAGAAAAATTGCTAGTTTATGAATACATGCCTAACGGCAGCTTAGACTCCTTTATTTTTGGTATGGAATATCATCAAGAAAACTGGCATACTCATGTATAATAGACTTCATTCAAAATAACTTGTTAGACTTGAATATTCTACATTGAATGACACATTTCTTTGAATAAAACAGATCATAACAAAGGTACGTTGCTACAGTGGCCTCATCGCTTTCACATAATATTTGGAATTGCTCGAGGACTTTTGTATCTTCATCAAGATTCTCGGTTAAGAATTATCCATAGAGATCTCAAAACAAGTAATGTCCTACTTGATGAGAAGTTGAATCCCAAGATATCAGATTTTGGATTAGCTAAAGCTTTCGGAGGAGATGAGATTGCAGGAAATACAAATAGAGTAGTTGGAACTTAGTAAGTATTTGATTATTCAGAAATATTTATGTTCTTCCGTATATGTGTGTGTCTCATTAGAGCATTTAATTCTTACATATAATTACTTCTTGTAGTGGATACATGGCACCAGAGTATGCTGTTGATGGGATATTTTCAGATAAATCTGATGTTTTCAGTTATGGTGTCTTATTGTTGGAGGTTATATGTGGGAGCAGAAACAGAGCCCTTTGTCATGAGAATCACACCTTTAACCTTGTTGGTTATGTAAGCACTTTTAATTATTCTTAATTTCTCTGGCACTATCGAAATCTTAACATCTTTTACTTTACATTTATGATTTAGGCGTGGACACTTTGGAAAGAGGGCATGGCTTCACAATTGATAGACACAAATATAAAAGAATCATGCATTATTCCAGAAGCATTACGTTGCATTCATATTAGTCTCTTATGTGTGCAACAATATCCAAAAGATAGGCCTACAATGGCTTCAGTGGTTCGAATGTTAGGGAGTGAGATGGAGATAATTGAGCCTAAAGAGCCAGGCTACTATCCGAATGTTTCCGATGAAGCAAATTTACCCTTAAATCAAACTGGAATGAGTGAGTACATCGAATTAACTGATACTACATTAGATGGTAGGTAAAATTAAAATCAAATTATGTTAGTTTGCACTACATTATGCTGTATATGGATGCTCTGTACCTAGCGAAGGACTTCAAATGTGTTGGCTATGGTATACTTGTGCAATTTAATATATTAAGTAAATGAAGAAGAGAAATGTGATTGACGATATTGTTCTGCAATACCAAGTTCATCATTGACAAAAGTTCAATCCATTCAGGGTTCATCCTTTTTGTTGGGCTTACATCTCTTTTGATTTTTTATTCGTTAAGAGACCAACTACTCCCAAATATAAAAACTGCAATATTTATAGATTTCTATAGTTGGCTTTGGGATCATAGTTTAGTTATCATCGACTGGCCTGAAATGTGATTATCATCCAATTATTTTCTATCTCAGAATCAAATAAGTTTGATTTCTCAAATGTGATTATAGTTACTTTTAATCATACCTATTTATTAATCTATAATATGATTAAAATTTAATTCGAATCGCTCCCCTTGATTTGTATTGAATCCTTACATCAAAAAAATTTTATACTTTAGTCTCTATTAAAAAAAAATTTGCAAATTGATATATATTGCTTAGTAAAGTTTTTGTTTTTTTTTTCAAATGTTTATTGATTAAGAAAGTCTAATGACACTCACAATCAAAGGATGCTAAATATTGAAAGCATTACAACAATGCACAAAAAATATACAATAAAAGATCAAGAACACAAGCTCAATATAAACGCAACTTAACAATCCTTCAAACACTAACATAATAAAATTTAAAATTAATCTACTTCCCAACAACACAAACTTAACTTCAAGAAATAGACTTTTATTTCCTTCTTTTTTTCTTTTTATTCTTAGCACAAACCTAAAGATAATTTCAATGAATTTTTTCTCCCTTTCTTCCTTTTAATCTTTCGGAATTAGTACAGGTTTGAAGATGGCTTAAACTCATTATATTTGGGGATAACAATTGGCTTAAACTCATTATACCCATAAATATTACTCACTTGGTAAGGTGTTTATCCATCAGAGCACAGCTTACATGCCATAGCTCTTAAGTCGCAATTTGGGAAGAAACCACCCAAAATTTGCCATAAAAAATTATTATTTTAAATAAAATTATTACATGCCAAAGCTCTTTTAGCCTTTTCTATTTGACATCTCCCTTCAAGAGAAATTGCGTCTGTACTATGTCTAGGAATGTATTTTTCAAATTAACTTAGTCTTTTATACCTTCTGATGTGATCTTAGTCTAATCCTTCTAATTTTTAAACTCCTTGATTTTTTTTCACAAATAATGTTTATTAGATTTGGTTCATGAGTTGGAAATTTGAATAAAAACTTGAACTTGTTTTTCATATATCTTTCTTTAAAATATGTCTAATATTTTATTCATAAACATTTAAAGCATAATTGAAAAATGAAACCAACCATTAAAAAAAATTATGATTAATTAATTAAAAAATTAAATTAAATAAGCATTCTAATAACTAAGCCCAAAGATTAGTATAAATTTGGGATTAAATGTCAAAGTGGAGGCGAAGAAAATAGGGTCACGTGCTTGACTTGGAAGTAAAGCTGGAATGATGAACCAAGTGTATCTGTCTCGTGTGGCAAAGCTTCATTCCATCACAATTATATTTACGAATTTAGAAGCTTTGGTCATCCCTACGAGTTATCAATATTTATTGGATTATTCTTCATTTAATCTCTTTAGTGTGGCTTTCATAGATTATTTTTTTTTAACATATACTCAATTTGCCTTAAGCAAGTTTTGCCATTTTTAATTCCTAAAATTTAGTTCTAATTACCATCATATGTCTTAGTTGTGTAGTAAACTTTTTCCTTAAAGCATATCTAAAAACTTAAATCAAACATAAAGAATACATGATTAAATTCATTCAAAATTTAAATAAAATAAAATAACCTAAAAAATAGAACCAAAGATATGCATAAATTTGGAATATAAATTAAAAGCCAAATAAAATGGGATTAGTGGATGACTTGGAAGTCAATTATAATGAAAAACCAAAGATGTGCATAAATTTGGAGTAAAAATTTAAAGCCACAAAATGGGATTAGTGCTTGACTTGGAAGTCAATTAAAATGAAAAACCAAGTGTTTGTGTTTCATGGTTCTAGGCACTCTCAGCTTATATGTCCTTAATTTCGCATTTTCATGTTGATCATACACTTACTTGAACACATATAATCAATATCCAAATAGCCAAGCACCATAAAAATCTGTAACTCAATGGCCATTCTTTCTTTCATGATTATGGTTGGTTACATACTTGTTCCCTCTCTCAAATTTTCCATAGCCATTGATTCTATTAATATGTTCCAGTCTATGAGTGATGGACAGACATTAGTGTCAAAAGGTGGAAAGTTTGAACTTGGTCTCTTCAGTCCCAACAATTCCACCAAACGTTACCTGGGAATTTGGTACAAGAATATCCCAATTCAAACAGTTGTGTGGGTTGCTAATGGAGCCAACCCCATCAACAATTCCTTTGGCATATTAACACTAAATAGCACAGGCAATCTCATGCTAACCCAAAATGGCTCTATTGTTTGGTCTACAGACTCAAAAAAACAAGCACAGAATCCAGTGGCAACACTCTTTCACACTGGCAATCTTGTGGTGGGAAATGAAGGAGAAACAAACCCAGAAGCTTACTTATGGCAAAGCTTTGACTATCCATCTGATACATTTTTGCCAGGAATGAAGTTGGGATGGGACCTTCGAATTGGTCTTGAAAGGAAAATCACATCTTGGAGGAGTCCAAATGATCCATCTCCTGGAGATTTTCATCGGACATTAGCTCTCAATTCATATCCCGAGTTTTATTTGATGAATAGAACACAAAAGTTCTTCCGGTTTGCACCTTGGAATGGCCTATACGTTAGTGGTACTATATATCCAAGAATTACTCATTCCTCTTATACAAAATTTGTCTCCAATAAGAATGAATTGTTCTACACGTATATCATCACGAATGATTCTATCCTTGCTAGAGGGGTAATAAATCAAACCAGTTATAGTTATGACAGATTATATTGGGATGATAGTGCTCAAACATGGGAAAGAACTTCAACGTTCCCAGCGGACATTTGTGACACTTATGATCTTTGTGGAGCCTATGCGAATTGCATTCCTACAGAATCTCCACCATGCTTATGCTTAGAAGGATTCAGTCCAAAGTCCCCTCAAGCATGGAACTCGTCTGATTGGAATGAAGGGTGTGTCCGCGATAAACCATTACATTGCAAAGACAAACACTCAGATCAATTTGTAAAATATGAACGGCTTAAACCACCAGATACTTCACACACATGGCTAGATGAGAATATTGGTTTAGAAGAATGCAACGACAAGTGCTTGAATAATTGTTCTTGCAAAGCATATGCAAATTCAGATATAAGAGAAGGAGGTAGCGGTTGTGTCTTGTGGTTTGGGGATCTCATTGATATTAGACAGTTTCTAGCTGATGAGATAGATATATATATCCGAATGTCTGCTTCAGAGATAGGTAAAGACTATATTTTTGTTTCTGTCATTCTTCCCATCAAAGGTTTGATAAATGTATCTACAAAATCTTCAGTTTACTTGTTTTCAGGCTATCAAATGCCTCATCATGGTCGCAAGAACAAAACAATAATTGTCACAACCGTAGCTATAACTTGCGGGATACTTTTGCTTTGTATTTATTTTATCTGCAGAGTCCGTAAAAGCATTACTGGTATTATTCTTGATCACTTTCATTTTGGCTAACAGTGTATAGTTTAGGAGAAATGGAGGGAAGGGGAAAAGGGGTATTTTTATATCTTTTTCATGTTTAGTTCAATATTTTGAAAAGAAAAGGGAAGGGAGAGGGGAAAGGGGCCTAAATCCCTTCCCACTCAACTTTACATCCCCTTTAAAGTGGGTAAATTTGAAGGAAGAGAAACTCTTAAACAAATTAGACAAAATTAATTATTCTTATATTTAACCATTAAACTCCTCCCCTCCTTTCCTTTTCATTAAAATCCCCTGTTTTCTCCCATTTTATGTACCCTTTTAACATGACATTCTACTTTGATGATTCAATTATCTATTTTTCCTTTTCACATTTTGTAAGGCTTCAGTATGTGTTTTATCTTTATATTTTTTCTTACTTTTTTATTCTATTCCCTCTAATTATTTTTTAATTCTAGTCTTTTTTTAAAAAAATTCAATAATTTTGGTTTACCTTGACTATTAAATCATTACATGGCTAATCATGAGATTGTCATGTATCAAATTTTTGGTGCTACATGTCAGTATTTTGTGATGTCATGCTGAAGAGAGGGACCAAAGGTACTGAATTTAAAAATGTTAAAGACTGAAACTAAAAAACATTAGAGAGAGTAAATAAAAAATTCACTAAAATATAGGAACAAAAATATATATATTTTTATCCTTTCTATAGTATAACTAAAGGCCATTTTACAATTTTCAGAGAGGTCAAAGACAGAAGATAACAATGAAAGGCACGTAGATGAATTAGATCTCTCGTTGTTTGACCTGCAAACAATAAAAACTGCCACTATGAACTTCTTGATAAAGAATAAGATTGGAGAAGGTGGTTTTGGGCCTGTATATTGGGTAATTCAATATTTGAGTAGTATTTTCAATTTAGCTGTGTAAAGTTAATTAGGGAAGTGTTAATATTATGAGGAGGAAGTACTAACATGAATTTGAGTTTGTAGGGGAAGTTAGCAGATGGACAAGAAATTGCTGTGAAAAGACTTTCAAGAAGCTCAGGACAAGGAATGACTGAGTTCAAAAATGAAGTAAAGCTAATTGCAAAACTTCAGCACCGAAATCTTGTAAAACTTCTAGGTTGTTGCATTCATGGACAAGAAAAATTGTTAGTTTATGAATTCATGCCTAACGGAAGCTTAGACTCCTTCATTTACGGTATGAGATGCAATCCACAAAACTTAAATACTCGTTTATTATGACTTCAATCATAATTATGTAGAAATTTGTCAGACTTGAAAATTCAGTATTGAATAACAAATGTGCTTTAAATAGAACAGATCACACTAAAGGTAAATTGCTACATTGGTCTCATCGTTTTCACATAATATTTGGAATTGCTCGAGGACTTTTGTATCTTCATCAAGATTCCCGATTAAGAATTATTCATAGAGATCTCAAAGCAAGTAATGTTTTACTTGATGATAAGTTGAATCCTAAGATATCAGATTTTGGAATAGCAAAAGCTGTTGGAGGAGACGAGACTGAAGGAAATACAAACAGAGTGGCTGGGACTTAGTGAGTTATTAATTATTCGGCAACATGAATTTGTAATTTATGTGTGTGTCTCATGAGAATATATTTTTTGGTCTAGACCACTATCTTCCAAGGGAGGCAATCCTGTTCAAGCTGGATAGGACCATTATGTGTGTGTCTTATGAGAATATTTTAATTTCTAATTCCATTTATTTCTTGCAGTGGATACATGGCACCAGAGTATGCAGTTGATGGGTTATTTTCAATCAAGTCTGATGTTTTCAGTTTTGGTATCTTATTGTTAGAGATCATATGCGGGAAAAAGAATAGAGCTCTTTGTTATGCAAATCACACCTTTAACCTTGTTGGTTATGTAAGCAATTTGATGATTTTGAATTTATCTATTACTATTGAAATCTTAACTTCATCTAACTTCTAGCATATAATTTAGGCATGGACACTTTGGAAAGAAGGCATGGTTTCACAATTGATTGACCCAAGCATAAAACAATCATGCATTGTCTCAGAAGCATTGCGTTGCATCCATGTTGGTCTCTTATGCGTGCAACAATATCCGAAAGATAGGCCTACAATGACTTCAGTGGTTCAAATGTTAGGGAGTGAGATGGAAATAGTTGAACCAAAAGAGCCAGGCTTCTATCTGAATGTCTCTAATGAAACAAATTTACCCTTAAATCCAATAGGAGTGAATTCATACGTTGAATTAACCGATGTCACATTAGATGGCAGGTAAAATTCAATTATGTCAACTGGCACCGTATTATCTCGTATGAATGCATTGTACCTATCTAAGAACTTGAAACATGTTAATTGTTGTATACTTGTGTAATGAATATATTAAGAAAATTTTAATACGAAAGATTTTAACACTAATATGAAGAAGAGAAATGTGATTGACATTCTTGTTCTGCAATATTATGTATCAGCATGAAAAGATAGGTCTTCACAATCAACCCCACAATAAAATTAAAAGGATGCAAATTCACATGGCATAACAATCCTAGAGGGGATTCATTACTAAGGAGAAGTTGGGCAGAGTTCTTTTAAACTGTCCATAAAGAAGTTGCATAAAGATACTTTGCCAAATTCTAAAGAAAAGATATACAATCTTCATCAGAAGTTGTTATCTTTCAAAATAGTACTAGTGGGGAGGACAATTGGGAACAGATTGAAAGTTATTCGTATGAGAATTGCAGAACTTTGGAAACAAGAGATGTACTGAGTAATTCAGTCAAGGTTAATATGGTTGAAATGGAGTGGTAATGATGCACACTTTTTCCATGCCACAACAATCTTTAAAAAGGGCGTGACATGATATATAGATTAAAAAATGAAGCAAGTGAATGGGGTGAAGGACAAGGCAGATTCATGAAAGCCATGTATAATCATTTCAAGGAGGTTTACACGAGAGGCTCTCATTCTACTAACAATTGCATTCAAGTCATTCCCAAAAAAGTGTCTTAACAAGTTATGAGCTAACAGTAAGCTCTGTCATCCCATCTCAGAGTTGAAGATTAAAACAGCAATTGATAGTCTCAGGAAACTCGGCCCATGGACCTAATGGGTTCAATGGACTATTTTTCCAAAATAATTGCGAGACAGCACTGCGTATATATCAAAGTGCTTTTATAAAAGGTTCATTCAAGATAATATAGTTATTATATATTAAATTTTATTTATTTATTTTTATTATATATAGACATAGAAAATTTTACAAAAAAATTATTAAAAAAATAAAAAAAATACTTAAATAGACTCATCCACATGTTATTTACTGAAGTAGACATAAATATGTAGCTAAAATTTGTAATTTAGAATTCGATTCTCAAGAAACTGAATTTTGGCTTATCCTTTTTTTAAAATTTAATTTTATATTTTTATATAATAAAATAAATATTATTATTTAAATTATATTTATATTTTTTTAAAATAAATATTTATAATATATTATTCTAATAAATATTTATAAATATTTTATTAATTATATATAATAAAATAAGTTTTATTATTTAAATTATGTTTATATTTTTATATTATTTAAAACTGAATAATAATAATAATAATATTTATTTTACATGTTTATTAAAATTTCTTTTACATATTTAAGATAATAAATAATATTTTTATTTTTTATTATATTATTTAATATAATTTTGATTTTTTGAAAATGATATTAATATTATATTCTAAAATTATATTTTTAGTTATTTAATATTATATTTTAAAAAAAATAAAAATTATAATAATAATTTATTTAATTTTAAATTTGTATAAAATAAAAATTATAATAATAATTTATTTAATTTTAGATATTTATTAAATAAATAAAAGTATCACATAATAACTAGTTTATTTATTTATTTTAAGATATTAATCTTTATTAAAATTTATACATAATTGTTTAATTAAAAAGTATTTTATTAATATTAATAAACATAATTAAATAATATTATGTAGATATATTCTATATAATTATATATTTAATATAAATTATAAATACTAAAAATTTAAAAGTTGCAATAACATTCATAAAATTAAAAATGACATTAAAAAAATTTTAAAATAATAACAACAATATAAATCAATAGCTAGAACTAGAAAATTGAGCGATATTTGAACATATCTTTCTTGTATAACCAAGAGTGTGACAATAAAAATAATTTTTTGTCTGACTTTGTTATTTTTTAATGTTCATCTCTGTTCTTATCCTATTAGATTTAGGTCGATCCTTTGAAGTTTTTTTCAGTTCTGGATTTGGACACAAAATTGGGCCTGTGTAAGTTGGCCAATAGTCTTCATGTTTGAGTTCTTTAAACTAAACTTCGTATACATTAGAAACTTATTGTAAGGTATACACGGGAGATATGTAGATATCAAAGTTGTGATGTGTGTGTAAGTATGAAACAAAGACATGCGAGCATGGGATGTGAACATTTTGGAACTTACCACAATCACACCACATTTCATCTAACTGTACTGTAAATTTTTTTACGGGTCAAATTTCTGTCAGATGTTGCGTTTCTTCGACTAAAAATCTAGTGCTTGTTTTGTCAAATGTGATGACTCTATGAGTGTTCGTCTTTGACAGTGCATCTTGAGTTGTTTTAGTTTCAACCTCTGAGTACATATGTCCAGCATTAATCATATACCACCATCCTTTGTTTTGTAATTGTTAAATGGTACAAAATAGATAGAGTCAAATTACAGTTTCGTCTCTTCCAAGAAATCTCTTCTTCACCTAATAATTTGAATGTCCACAAAATTGACATGAGAATAAGAAAAGATGAAAATTGGGTTACAAGACATGCTCAATGGATTGAGATATGGAATAACAGACATGCGTTGACAATAACAGGTTATTTAATGCAAGGCCCATTGTGTCATACACAAAAATACATGGAATGGTACATTGTCAATTTCATCTATTTCCTATTTGTGCCACCACTACTACAAGATCCAAGGAAGAGCGACCAACAACTAAAGACTACCAACACATTTGAAATTAGTATGATTTCCACACTGTTGTACCACGAGACTATATCAATTTCTCTGAACATTACGCTAGAAGCAAACATAATTAACACAAGACATTTATTTGCAACAACATCGGAAGATTTTTTTACAAATTTATTTGGAGTTAATTTTACAACTCTATTTTCAGCACAAACTTATATGCAGTCTCTTTACCAACCAGATTTTGCTAATAAATTTGGTAATTCATCAAATGCATTCCAACAACTAAACCTTTATGATAATCTAAATCTTCTACAAGTTCATCCTGAAATCTTAGAGTAATAATTACAACGACAATACCTACTACGTCACAAACGTCACCCTTGTTATTATCTTTGTTAATGTACTTTGTCTTCATCAATGTTACCTTAGTAATATGAAAATGTTAATTTTAAAATATTTGTCCCAAATATAAATAATTAACTTATAATTTAATATTTTATTTAATTTTTAAAAATATTTTTTTATTTTCAAATAAAATTTATTAAAAGTTATAATAGTAAAGTTTTAGAGTTTAGGGTATTAAAAATTATAATATTAAATAATGTCATTTTAAAAAATAATTTAATTAAAATAAAATTTTTATTCAAAATATCATTTTATCATACTAATATTTAAAAATATTAAGTTAAAATTACATATTTAAATAAATAAATAAACATAATAATATTTAATATATTTATTTATTTTTTAAAAATATAATTATTATTCTTTAAGTATAAAAAATTTAAGCATTAACATTATTATCTAAAATAATATATTTATTATTTAAATATTTTAATTAGTTTTTAAAAATATAATTATTATTATTTTTTAAAAATATTATTTATTATCTTAAATATGTAAAATAAATTTTAATAAACATGTAAAATAAATATTATTATTATTTTCATTTATTTTCAAATAATATTAAAATATAAACAATTCAAATAATAAAACTTATTTTATTATATATAATTAACAAAATATTTATTAGAATAACATATTATAAATATTTATTTTATTATATAAAAATATAAAATTAATTTTTTTAAAAAAATTTAAATATTACAAATTTTAGCTACAGCATTTGGGTCTATTTCAATAAATAAAATGTGGATGGGTTTATTTAGATTTTTTTAATAATTTTTCTATAAAAATTTCTATAGACATACCTGTATCTTAGTTTTTGAAAAATTAGCCTATCCTTGTACCCGTACTCGTATTCGGTACTCATATCCATGCAACTTAGCTTATGAACTGAACAGTAAGCTCTGTCATTCCATCTGAGAGTTGAAGATTAAAACAGCAATTGATAGTCTCAGGAAACTCAGCCCATGGACCTAATGGGTTCAATAGACTATTTTTCCAAAATAATTGGGAGACAGCACTGCTTATATATCAAAGTGCTTTTATACAAGGTTGGTGCATTCCAGATAATATAGTTATTACAACACATTTCAATGCTTCAAAAATAATAACACAGCACAAGAAAAGGAATGACTCTAAAGCTGGGCATGACATGACTAAAGCTTTTTTGGAAAAAGTTCCCCTGCCTTATGCTTTTATACTAAGTGGGTTGGTTGGTTTGGTCATGACACTTATTAATTCTATAACATCCATATTCACTCTCAGTGGATACAAATTATTTAAAATTTAAGAAATGTTTAAATTAAAAAATATATTTTAATTACTAATAATCAATATTATATTTTATCTACTTTTATATATAATTGTAAATCTTAATTCTTAAACAAGAGTGTTTTTAGCTGTCATCTTTGAACCAGAACAAGTTTTGTATTATTTCTCTTTCTACTTTTTAATTCAATTTATATTTTATTTTTAATTTTTAAAAGTATATCTATTTATTTTAGTGTTATTTAACATAATAAGATATTTATTATTAAAATTTAAATAATTATTTATTTTAAATGTATAAAATTATTTATAAATTTCATTTCGAATTATATTTTAATTTCATAAAAAAATGTGTAATGCATGAAAAATATATAGTTTTATTAAATAGGACTAAGTTAATAAAATAAAATATTACAATTATAAATTTAAACAATTAACTACTCAATATAAAAGAAGTCACTTCACATTATAAAAGGAATAAAAATAACTTTAAAAATGATCTTATTTAAAATAACAAATCTATAAAATATTCTCATTAAAAAATAAATACTCATATTTTATAGGTAGAAATATATTAATTGATCTTAACAACTCGCCGTAGTTATTTGACTAGAGATGCTCTGAATTTCTCTTTCTTCCTTTTTGCTATAAATGAAAGGATGTGGGGGCAGTATGTAAAATATAGTGAAAAAAAGCAATTGTCTTAAAATAATAATTGGCGTCATGTTTTCAAAAATTGGTGTTAGGTAACCAAATTTGAATGAGCAAACTAAAACCAATGTTTGAATGAGCTAAATTATACATAACATTGAATTTGATGAGATTTTGATATTTTTATAAATCTTGATAAATAATATAGTAATTTTTATTCTACAAAATAGCAAAACCAATTTAAGTTAAACGAAATGAATTAACTTTAACTTTCTTTTCGGCATAGCATGACTCCATGAGTGCCGTGTGAACGTGTGATTGAAAACTTTAACCAATGCTAACATTTGCGTAAATTGCTGTGTTTCAAATTATTAACGTCAAATGTTTAGCATAAGTTATTCAAAAACACCTATGTCTAGAAACACGAACTCCTAATTATTAGACAACACCACCTTTTTTAATCAAATTTAAATATAATTGATCTATAACTACATAAAATTACTAAGAATAATTGTATTATTGTATATATAGCCTGTCATCTACTGGCAATTTAAGTAGCTATTTGATCTAAGAATGGTTCTGTGGAATCTGGATCAAGAACAAGCTTTATCTCTATTTATGCATGCATGTGTCAGTTGTTTTAAGGCTTTATCCTAAGGATGCTCCAAGCAATTATAGAATGCTCACAAAGAATTGACAAAGATTTCTTAAATATCTAAGTTTGTCATATATGACAGTGGATATATACAAGCCACAATTGACATTTTTACTTGTATCAAATCACAAGTGCTAGTTTTGTAGTGTACGTGCAAAAGGTCTTGCCTTAGAGAATGACTGCACTTGCTGAATATGACCTTGGCTTTTCTAAGATTGTAGCCAATAATTTATTTGACAGTTTATTTTTGCATTTAATGCTTGTTCATTGTGATGTATTAGCTGCTTAAAAAAAGAAAAGGCTTGACGATGATGACAGTTTGATATTTGATCTATGCCCCCCAAAAGTTCTAATTTATTTTTATTTTTCCATTCTTTTATTTAAAAAAAATACATAATTTTAACATGATTCATGCACATCTATTCAATCTTTCGATGAATAAATCATACAAGTAAATTTGATATCACACCTAACCCAAAACTTTAAAGTTATTGAATTTTAGGTTATTCTCCCGTGAATGATGCTCAACTTCTCCATTTTCACCAAATGTGAAACTTGGTTGCTTGTACTTGATACATCTACAATCTTTCCCTGAAGTGTAAGTTCTTTTTATTGACGATACTTTTCATTAATGAAAGTCTTCAACATTTTAACCGACACAAAGCACTTAAGTCACACTCTACACATACTTTATTAAACTTGCATTGTTGTTAGCTATCGCGAGACATGTTGGTTGACCTTCATGTTGCCAAAAAGACTTCTTTATTTTTTTGTAAATACTTTAGTTCTTTAAATTTTATTTTATTTTATGTTGGATCTCTAATTTTTTATATATTTTGATCCTTTAACTTCATTTCAAAGGATTAAATAAAAGTAAAAGACCAAAATAGAATAAAAAATTAAATGACAAACTGAAATGCAAAATAAAATTAGAGAATCACCATAGAACTTAAAAAAGTTTAAACAAAAACAAATTTAAAAATAAACACTTTTTTCTTTTTTCTTTTTTCTAACTTAAATTGAATGAAAAATCATTTCCAAGCATTCGCTTTTGGAACCAAAAAGAAATCCACAAAAATAAATAAAACATTATAAAAATCTGGGGTGTGAAAATATCTACTGTGTTTGTTAACGTCACGTGTCATGTTTTCATAAATCTCTGTCATACAGTGTGAACAGGTCAACTAAGGCTAAGAAAATCCACTGTGTATGACGGGTCTACTACGCAATAAAGTCAAGCTGGGACCATATTTACTCGACTTTTGACTCAAAATCAATGCACAAAGTGAAAAGGAAGTGTGTTTTTGTTGTTTAACTCATCCTATTTTCCGCAACACATTTTAGCTCCAAAATATAGCCTTATTATTATCAGTAGTATTCAAATGAAAAATACCCAAAAAGCTGGAACTCCATGGATATTCTTTGTTTCATGTTTATGGTTGCAGGTTTACTAGTTCCATCTTCCATAGCAATTGATTCCATTAGTGTGTCGCAGTTCATTACTGATGACAAGACCTTGGTGTCTCAAGGTGGAATATTTGAGCTTGGTTTCTTCAGCCCAGGTAGTTCTAACAAACGTTACTTAGGTATTTGGTACAAGAACATCCCAGATAAGAAAGTTGTTTGGGTTGCAAATAGGGAAATCCCCATCAATGGTTCCTCGGGTATGTTAAGAGTTAACAGCACAGGCAACCTTGTGCTAAGCCAAAATGGGTCTGTTGTTTGGCACACAAAGTCTCAGAAACAAGGAAAGAATCCAATGATGGTGCTTTTGGACAGTGGCAATCTTGTGGTAAAAAATGAGGGAGAAAAAAACCCAGAAGACTATTTGTGGCAAAGTTTTGATTATCTATCTGATACAGTATTGCAAGAGATGAAGTTGGGATGGAACCTCAAACTTGGTATAGATTGGAGATTAACATCATGGAAGAGTCCAGATGATCCATCTCGTGGAGACCTTTCTTGGGCTTTAGTACTCAATGATTATCCTGAGTATTATATGATGAAGGGGACAGAAAAAATCTTCAGAATTGGACCTTGGAATGGCCAATATTTCAGTGGAACACCAGGTTTACAACCCAACCCCATCTTTAATTTTAAGTATGTTACCACAAAGGATGAGATTTTTTACTCATATACCCTCACGAAAAAGTCTGTTATTTCCGTTGCTGTATTAAATCAAACTACAAGCAAGTTTTATCGCTATGTATGGGTGGAGGGTGATCAAAATTGGAGAACTTTAAATTCCATCCCAACAGACACTTGTGACACTTACGGCCTCTGTGGAGTCTATGCAAATTGCATGGTTACACAAGTACAAGTATGCCAATGTTTAAAAGGGTTTAGTCCAAAGTCACCAAAAGCATGGAACTCAACTGAATGGACTCAAGGATGTGACCGGAATAAACCATTAAGCTGCAAAGACAAACTCACAGATGGGTTTGTCAAATATGAAGCAGTGAAAGTTCCAGATACTACACATACTTGGGTGGATGAGACTATGGGCCTAGATGAATGCAGATTCAAGTGCTTGAATAATTGTTCTTGTATGGCTTATACTAATACAAACATAAGAGGAACAGGCAGTGGCTGTGTCATGTGGCTTGGTGATTTAATTGACATTAGACAATATGAACGTGGTGGACAAGATCTATATATTAGGATGCCTGCTTCAGAGTTAGGTAAGGACACAAGTTTTGCTCAATAATACTTTTCTTTTTCTTATTAAATGCAACTTTCATTGCTCAAGATTAAGCTAACTTCGGCTTTTGTTTTCTGTAGGATCCGACCCTCTGGAACCAGTATATAGTAGGCACAAGAAGAACACGGCAACAGTAGTTGTTTCCACCCTTACTGTGATTTTTGGGGCTCTTTTACTTGGTGCTTATTTTATCCGTAGAATCCGGAGAAACATGGCTGGTAAATAATTGTTTGACTCAAATTTTTCTAAATAGATGGCTGCACTTCTCTATAACTTTTTGACTAAAATTGCAAATTGGAAATTCTCATGGTTTAATCATCATGTAACATGCCATCTTGAGTTTAATAACTTGCTAAATATTGAATGAAATGAAATCACATAACATATTCTATTTTTCCTTCTCTATTGTTCATATTGACCTATGTTAACTATTTTCAGTTCACTTCACATGTTTTATAACACTACTAAAGGCCTTCCTCCATTTTGTAGAGAATTCAGTGACAGTGACAGAAGATAAAAATGAAAGACATGTTGATGATTTGGACATCCCCTTGTTTGATTTACCAACAATTTCTGCAGCCACTGATGACTTCTCCATGAAGAATAAGATTGGAGAAGGTGGTTTTGGACCTGTATACAAGGTAATAATTCTTAGAGTAATACCACAACAGCGAAAGGGAAGTAGACAAGTATAAATAAATATTAATGCAAAGATTCTACTCATGTGAGTATGCAGGGAATATTAACAGATGGGCAAGAAATTGCTGTAAAGACTCTATCGAGGAGCTCAAGGCAAGGGTTGACAGAGTTCTTGAATGAAGTAAAAGTGATTGCAAAACTTCAGCATCGAAATCTTGTAAGACTTCTTGGTTGTTGCATTCAAGGACAAGAAACAATACTAGTTTATGAGTACATGGCAAATGGCAGCCTAGACTCCTTCATTTTTGGTATGGAAAATCAATAAAGCTTGGTAATGCTAATAATGACTTTAGTGATATAAACACAACTACATTGAATGAATAGTCAATATTGAATAACATATTTGCTTGAACAAAACAGATGATACAAAAAGTAAATTGCTAGAGTGGCCTCAGCGCTTTCACATAATATGTGGAATTGCAAGGGGACTTATGTATCTTCACCAAGATTCTCGATTGAGGATTATCCACAGAGATCTCAAAGCAAGTAATGTTCTACTTGATGAAAATCTCAGTCCAAAAATTTCAGATTTTGGAATGGCCAAAACTTTTGGAGGGGATCAAGTGGAAGGAAACACACGGAGAGTAGTTGGGACTTAGTGAGTATCTCATTCTCCTACTCCATTTTTCATTTTTTACAAATATGTGAATTGTTTTTCATGTAATGATGTCTTGCAGCGGCTATATGGCACCAGAGTATGCTGTTGATGGGTTATTTTCTGTAAAATCTGATGTCTTTAGCTTTGGCATTTTATTGTTGGAGATTTTATGCGGCAAGAGAAATAGAGGAATTTATCACACAGATAAGAGTCTCAACCTCGTTTATCAAGTAAGAGCTTGAATTTCTTTTCAATTTATGTGTGCTAAATTAAAACAAAATAGACTTAAATATATTTTTAGACTTTTTAAGTCTCTACATTTTTTTCAATTTTTTTATTTTAGTTCCTAAAAATTCTTTCTTTTGATTTTATTCATTTTTCTAAATTCACACTTTTGGTCTCTTTTACTGACATGATGCAATGAAAAAAATGGACATGTGATAACATTTTAGTTCCTTATTTCATCACTAAGGACCAAAAGTGCTGAATTTAGAAAAATTAGATATTACAGTCAAAAGAAAAAAAAAACAGTTGGAACTAAAATTAAAATCTCGCAAATGTATAAGAATTAAAAATATATTTAAACCATTCAAATATAAAAAAAAAAATCATTTTTTTTCTTAATTATGTTTCAGGCGTGGACATCATGGAAAGAGGGCAGGGCATTAGAGTTGATTGAATCAAATGTGACGGAGTCATGCAATATGTCAGAAGCGTTACGTTGCCTCCATGTAAGTCTTTTATGTGTGCAGCAGTACCCAGAAGATAGGCCTACAATGGCCTCCGTGATCCTAATGTTGGAGAGTCAAATGGAATTGGTGGAGCCTAAAGAACATGGTTTCATTTCAAGGAAAGCTTCGGTTGATGCTGATTTACGGTCGAATCTGAAGGACACAAGTTCAACCAATGAAGTGACTATTACTTTGTTAGAAGCTCGATGAAACTCATCGATAGGCTAGTTGGATATACACTGAATATAGATAGATAGATAAGAGGAGTTTGTATGAACTTCTATATATGGAACTTGTTTATATTTATGAGAAAGCTTCTATTACAATTTTTATGTATATATTACCCTCTTTTTTAAATATTATTTTTAAAGGAGGTTTGTAAGAACTTAACCTTAATATTAACTTCATAAAGTTAAGTTTAAACAATTATTAATAGTATAATTTTATTAGAAAAGAAACTATTTATTACATTTTTATATTTTTAATATAATAAATATTTATTTTTCATAAAAATTATTATTTTTATATGCTTAAATTCAATTTTAAAAATTGAAAACCCTTATATTTACCAGGAAGCGTGTATTGCAATTCTTATGTTTTTATGTAAATTATCTTTATCATTAATTTGATAAAAAGGGTATTTTAAATAAAAAAAATTACTACCTCCAATCCTATGTATAAGAAACAACTGCCAAAAGTTTTTTATTTTAATTATAAGAAATAAAAGCTTATCTTTAAATATATTAATTATTAAATTCTTTTAATACCCTTAATTTATTATAAAGTTATATTAACTATACACTCACCTATTTTCTATGCAAATCACTCACTGAGTCATTTAATATGATTGACATTTAAAAAAAATTAATATTTATAATATGTAAATATTTTTTATTAATTTTGATGAATGAGTTATTTTTCTCTTATAAATAGTACCGGACCGGAGTTAATATTTAAACAAAAGTGATAATAAACACATTTAAGGGCCGATATATATTAGATATAAAAATAGCTTACAAGATTCTTACCCTCCATCGGCTGTCTTACATTGAGCCTGAGATTTTTCATATATTTACAATTCTTCAAAAGCAGAAGAAAAAAAAAACTGTTTAGCGGCTTATACGACCATTTCCTAACATTTTCCATTACTAGTAAATTCGTTCAAATGCGTTTTATTAACACAATTTTATTAAAGAATCAAGTCTCTCGAGCAACATTGATTGATAAATGGTAGTATTATATTTTAACTTGTTCCGCTAAGTAGTACAGAAGTCAAGTGCCGTGCCTTGATGTCCAAAGCACTAGGAAAAATCCAAGGGGCACGTCTCTATAACCCATGTGGAGCAACTCGGTAGTCTTTCAGTGAATTGCAACTCTATCCACGTTGGTTACTCTCATTCAAAGCTCAACTCGGAATACTTCTCAGAAAGTGCCAATAATTATGTTTCATTACTAGTGCTTGACTTGGAGTCTACCCCAAGACATATTGAAGTCTATGATTCGTTCCTGGTCTACTTAATACCGATTCCTCACAAGACTAAGATCCTAATTACTATATTTCATATCTTGACCGATTAAACAGGAAATTAGACTGTTACCTAAAATATTTAAAAATGATTTGCCAGCTGAGGCAAATGAATACATGAAAAAGGAAAATCTTCTGTAAATATTTTGACAGTACACGGCTCAAAATTAGAAAGTTACAAGCTCTAGCTCTTGCAAATATGATACACTGCCAGTTCTTGAAATCTTAAATAATGTCAAATCTAAAGGTAAAGGCCGTCAGAAAACCACCATAGTTAGTCACCTTCCTCAACTTATATGCAAAGGTGCATACCCTCCCTTTGACAGATTAACCTACTTAGTCATCAAATTTTATCTTCTTTGGTGCAGGCTGGATGTTACCTACTTGCAAAAGAAATTACACTTTCATTGGACAAAATTTAGTGACATGGGCTCTTTATTTCAAAGAGCAAGGCAAAAGCATATTGAAAAGTCAAGACAAGTAAACACACACAAGCTCAGGGCATTCATAATCAATGCCAGCTGCCTCTATTCTCTTTCGTCGCTTTTGATCATGTTTTACAATCTTTTCTACCAACTTCTTGTACCCTTCTAATGTTCTTTCCTGAACAGAAAGCGACAGTGCAAATAAAGAATCTATCATACAGAGAATGAGGCTGACAAAAAATATATTTTTTCTTGATCCAACATCCATTGTCATGTCGCTCTCTTTAGATATGGACAGAATCCAGTGGCTTGTAATAATTGAGCAGTAAATGACGGTTGAGGTTGGCACACCGCTAACCTAATACAGACTTCATGGTCAGTTGTCACTATAGCAGAATACAACAAAACCAAAATATAAGTAAGCTCAGTAGGTAATCAAGAATCAAGGTTATGAAGCAATGTATCCAATATGATAAGAACCATCTGATAGTGTTAAAAGGAAGCATATTGCTGCAGAAAAAGTTTTCTCATTTGATAATATTTCTTTTGTTTCTCAACAACTTTCAGGAACTCCGACTAAGCATATAAGATTCTTTAAATTAATTAAGAGAAACAGGTCTAATAAAAAATTCATATGGATGACATTTGCTTTGCTGGAATACTGCATAATGGATCTCGACAGCTGACTTTTGCCTGCGAGGTCCATGGAAGGTTCAGGTTCAGGTTTCCAGATTTCAGTTATAGCATTAGAAACTACTTTAGCTAGTTTCTTATAACTAAACTGCAGGGACAATGGACCAGACACAGACCTAACAAGTATGCTTCATCATTGACTATTTGGTTTTATAATGTTGCGTGAGAAATAAGTCACAGCGAAAGCAATTGGTGATTGATTCCAACACTATAATGTAACAAGAAATATAAAACTTTTATTTGAATGATAAACAAAAGGAATATTACAAGAGTTAATCAACATATCAGAGAGAATACTACATAATGTACCTTTCTAAGATTACTTTCAGGACAAACTGGGTTAGCCCGAACACCTAAATTGTGCCTAACAAAAAACATCACCAACCAAAAAACTTGTGATATAAATATTGATATCTAAACACAGATCCAACCACAATGACCTTATCTTCCAGCAAGGTGAGCATTCTAAACAAAGAACGGAATAAAATGTTTTGCATTCCAAATTTCCCTTGAACCAAAAAGACCGTAACATAATGAAACATCCTCCAAAAACAATCTACAAATGTATAACAACCACAAAAATAAATAGATCAACACAACCAGAGCATGTGGCAAAAGCATTCCACAAATCACCATCTAGCTGACATATATATGCAATCAAACAAGAAAATTTTTTGGAACCCAACCCTTTTATTTCTCGCAATCCTCAGTCTCTTGATAATACCAAATTGTCTAAAACAACCTGGAACAAGTCACCATAAATAAACTCTCCTGCTAAACAGGAATCATAACATGAAAAATGATAATAAGTAATGGTTTGAGACACCAAAAGTATTAAGATTTTTTCCGTTACCAAAAAATCAGCACCGCCTGTTTTGTTATACAAAACGAAGAGTTTAGTAACAACCCTTTTCGAATGATTCTTCGTGAATTTCTCTGCCTTGATCACCATCTTCAATCGCCAATGAGCTACGGTTTGAACTTTGAAATTGACTTACGCTATCTCGAACTATCCAAACGAAAGCTCGTGTTATCGTTCATTGAGAATAAGGAAACGGTTCGAGCTCGAATGCGTGGCCGCTGCTGAGTGCGAAAAACTGCAACTGTGCAAAGGCTGACGTCAAGGGCGAACTAAAAATTTACTGGCGCCGTATTTAATTTAAATAAATAAATATATATATATATATATATATATATATTAAAAGTTAATAAAATAAAACTTTAGTTTTTAAATAATTATACATATAAGAAAATTATTTTTCATGATAGTAAAAATATTAAAAATAATCTTTGATTATGTAATTACAATTTATTTCATTCTTTAAAAGATAAAGAGAATCTTCAATTTCACATTTAAATATTAAAATTAATTTCTTAATATATGATTTATTATTTATTTTAATTCTTAAAAAATTAGAAATTATTTAATTTTTTATAAAAATATTAAAATTAATCCCTCAATATGTAGTCTATCGTTTATTTTAATCATTCGTCTAAAATTTATTAGTTAACTATTACCACATGATACGGTAAATGTTATGTGACACGTCAATAAAATTTATTTTAATCACAGATTTTTTTAAAGAATAAGCATAATATATTTAAAAATATATAAAAATTATGATTTTTAAAAGAAAAAGTAAGTCATAAAATATAAAATAAGAAATTAAAGTATATACTCGGAAAAAGATTTTTGTTACTACAGTTTTTACTTTATTCAAACAGAGTTACTTTTAGATTGAGTAGAATACCTATAGTATAGGAGAAAAAAAAATTCATAATTTCATTCAAACATTTGTATATACTTTCACTTTAATAAAATATAAATTAATATCATTTAAATGTTACTAATCATAAAAATACTTATTAATAAAAATGATTTGTTATCATCTATCAAAATTTATTATTTTATTTATAATTTTAAATCTATCATAACTTAATAATTAAAATGGAGCAAAGATTATGTTCTGTAACATATCAAAAAATATAAATCTTACACATTTAATGTTTCATGCTTGCCGTAAGAGATCATAATATATAACTATTTTTAAAAAACTACAATTTTTTAATCATGAAAAAAAATTATTCAGTTAAAACTTTGTTGCGTTAGGGTTTTGGACTAAGGATTTGTTGTTAAGAGTTTTGTGGCAAAGAGGAACCCTTCTGCTCCTCCCACCACCACCAACATTTGTAACTTGGAGTTTCTCCCTAAGAAACATATTAAAGGAAAATAAAGTGCGTAGAAAGAAGGGAGAATAGAAGGGTAGAATAAGAAGATATGAAGATTAAGAGTAAGAAGAATGTCAAGATCTCTTACAAAATAAATGGCTTCAAACCTTGATAGTGTAGGAGCTGAATATGGTTTAAAGATAGACTTTTAGCCTTTGTAAGGTGAGGATTTCGTTCTAAAATATGATAAAATCATTTCTTCTATTATGAATGACTTCAAGAGATATTTTCGTTCACGGGGAGACTACTAAAATTTATTTTAGGAAGCATTTGTAAATAAATAATTTGATTTGAAGTGACTAACTTAAATTCAATCCACAAGGCTATTTTGTGACCCAATTCTCATATTGGGTTAATTTTTAACTTGCAGCCCAATATGGAGCATTATAGACATGAGCAATGCTTACAATCATGGAGGTAATAGAACTTGTGACTTACAATATAATAACCATAAATAACACTCAGAGTCAGAAAGGCAACAAAATACTATAATGCTACGGTAGCATAATTGTCAACCTCTATATATCATGGTTATGCTTCATCCAAGAGCTACATAACCAATAGCATATTATAACTTGAGACTTATTCCCTGCTGTTATGCTATTCATACAAACACTCAAACGTTAGAATGTTCTTTTGCAAGTACACTCCGTTTATTCCATCACCAACCTGTACCAGTTTTGCAGCAACATTCTTTACACCATATACATATGTTGCTATTAGATGCATCGAAGATATACGATATCATAATTCATAAACACACAAGACATCAACTATATAAAGCTAACATATGCAAGATCACATGTTGCTCCCTCTTTGCATATAAATATTCATAATAAGACAAAAATCAAATTCTGCAATAGTTTACCATCTTCTTAAAGAAAATAAGCCAAAAAAGAAAAATGAGCAACAATTGTTTCCGGGTTTTGTTGCAATAATATCACAATATATTAAGTTTGATATAGCATTTGAGGAGCAAACTTATTGAGAAACTATAAATTTCAAATTGATAATATTATAGCTCTAGGAGATGCCTTTTCATAGGTTGATAACTGCTCCAGGATCACATAGTCTGGAATTGTTCGGGGGATGCAAAGAGACATACGTTCCAAGACTTTTGCATTTTCCAAAATGAACTGAAGAATCGACATCTCGCAACTTTTTCCACAAATCCCAGAAACTTTGACCTCCTTGAGATAGTACTGTAGGGAAACGGATGGTAAAACTTGTGATTGCCAAAACTGCTCCGCCTCAAATTCAAAGGCAATTGGAAAATGTCCTCCCAGATCACCCTATATGATAAACAAGTTATTTTTTCAACATTATATATTGATAACTTCTCATAGAACAAGGTTAAAAAATGCTTACCCAACGAATTGCTGCTGAGTTTGTCAAATCTATAGTTAAAGACTCCATATATGGGCAACATTCCATTATATATGCAATCCCGGGAAGTTCTTGCTTTTGAAAGTCAACTTGCAACTTCAGATGCGTAAGTTTATGAAATAAAATTGGCGCTTGTTGCAAGATATGCACTCCATAGGATAAGACCTAAATAATTGACACACAATTTCATGTTAAGCATAAGCTAAATCAAAATCTAATAAAAAAAATGGTGAAACAATAGTTAAATACCTGAATGCACCAACTACCCAGTGATAATCTTTCGCAATGAGTATAATTACCCATGAACTTAACCAAAGCTTGTCGTTGGGCAGCGTCTGTATGTTGCTCATCGACTCTAATGTCAATGTCAATCAACTTTGGTGCTTTGATATCTATTTTTGCTATGAGGAAACCTAACTCCAAAGTCAAAATCAACAATTCTGGTGCTGATAGATCAATTGGACATATAGGCCCATATGGTGTGTAGCAACTAATCACCATCAAACTTTCAATCATGATATCTTTTCTACAAATTAAGAAGTTCAAAGGAATATGGCAGGACTCAAGCTTCAAACTTTTCAGCATTGGACATTTGGTGACAAGATCTTCAATTGAGAAACAAACAACGGAAACCAACTTTAGAACTAAACTTTGAAGATAACAAAAAGCTCCCAAATTGGACATTTTGATTTTGCCACATTTAAAGGAGAAAGATTCCAATGCCCTAGATGCAGATTGAATAGGTGGTAATTCATATTCTGGAGACATCTTATCATGCCCCGCTGCCATTCCATTTGAGAAGTCAAATTCAAGCTTCTTAACTTTGTTTGTCATGGCAAAGCGAAACCACTTGTCAATTTTCTCCTTATTACTATTGAATCCATCATAGCACAAACCAAAGCTTAACCGCTTTATGGTGCATCCATTGTGGAGGTTGAGAGTTCTGTTCACAAATTGAGTGAACTTTTTGCTTCCTGCAATGATTGAATATCGAAGGCAAAATTGATGCATTTGGGGAAAGTCAATATGATAATCTTGAAGGATCATAATATTTGCATAAATGATCTTTGAAGCCATATCAAATTCATCAAACAGTATGGTTGAGGGTATCATGGACATGACAGCCATAACCAATTGTTCCCACTGCTTTGACACAAGGCTTGTCACCACTAAATCTTTCAAAGGTAACAAGGAAAAGATATGGATCAAAATTGAATGAGGTAGAGAACTTATATAGTCCCTGCCTTCAATTGCACGCTTGCTTTTGTTACGTCGGGGCACCAGTTTTCCTTTGACATTGCGCAATGAATTACCACCAAACTTTTCCATTGCACACTAAAAAAAACAAAGACTTACCTTACTCAAAGATTATACATAAATAAGGAAAAGTTTGGAAAACATATAAAGAAAGATAATCAAAGCATATTAAGTCTTTCACACAAGAATGAAAAGTTGTAATAAGCTCTTATGATTCAATGCTCACTAATATTAGCAGGGAATTTTGATAATTTAAATGATTTTGATCAATTAGTTAGCAATTAGAATTTGATAGTCATGAGAAACTCCTAAAATGAGATAGTATTCTAAGAAAAATAAAGAAATCTCTCTCATTTTATTTGTATCTCTCCTTGTTTTATTATGAATTTAAATCTATAATATGTTCAGCTATGGCATAATAATCATAATCAAAACTAGGTTCAATAATTAATAATCAACTTTGCATAAGCTGCACACAAATCCTTGCACATCCTCACCCATTTACTATATACGTGTAGATGGGTGTGTCTATTTGTGTGGAGGGAGAGATTTACTAATATTGTACGCTAATATTGTAAAACAAAAGATAAATAAATTTCCTTTAGTTACAACAATTTAGATTTAAAGGGCATTTAAGTCTATTTTTAAATTAAAAAAATCTAAACTATTGATTTTTTTTCTCTCACAAAAGTCTCATGTCTTGAAAGGAACAACTTTTTGTTTTCTTCCCACAACATCCTATTTTTGCCATTGCCAAATGATTGAATTTTTGTTTTCTATGCTGCAAAAGCCTTCGTTAACATGTTGAGCGACCTCTTGAAAAGTATAACTTAGTTGTATAGCTTGTAATATAGTTCATATTCATAAACACTACTAATCTCATGTGTTGAACAGGATATTAGAAAATTAAACTTAAGTAACTCCCAAAAAATAATTTAAAAGATGATAATCAATAAAACTTTATAATAGTATTTTGATCATATTCCTAGTTAGAGAAAGACATCTTAACACACTCTGATCATTCCAAGGAATGGACATATAATGCGTCAAGTTTGTAAAATTTAACATTTATATATGACCTAAAATATTAATTCACACTGGATAGCCTTTAATACTATATTAGAAAATTGAGCCTAACTCACTTCTAAAAACTAATTGAAAGGAGGAAGATTGTTCAATTTTATAAGTATTTTGACCATATTCCTAGTAAGAGTGATACATCTTAACACGAGAGTATAAGTATTGAACCTTTGTAGGAGTTGAGAAACTAAAATAATGACTATGGATGCTATGGAAAAAGTTAAATAGCATAACTATGAATGTTGATAAGAGAGAATTGAGCAACACAACTATGAGTGTTGCGGAAAAAGTTATACAACCATGGTATATTAATGTTGTGGGAAAAAAAGGATGTCAATGGTAGAAGAAAATTAAGTTGATAGGTAGACTGAAAATATTAGGAAAGAGACTGTGAGGGAAGGAAAGAAGAAATGATAAGTTTTATCTCTTTTTTTATTTAATTGAATGAATAGACTTAAATGCTCCTCAAATTAAATTGGTGCAATTAAATAAAATCAAATTTTTTTAATTTTACAATATTGGTGTACAGTGCTAAAATACTCCTTCTAAAATAAGAGAGTACATTAGCAAATCTATATATATAATGTAAAAGAATGACTTCAGTACCTTTTTATGATATGAAATTAATTGATAATTATACTCAAATATGCAACAAACAAGAATTCGTGAAATTTCAGAGATCAAAATCATATAAAATAGGAATGAAATTTGTAAAACCTTAAATTAGTGAATTCAATTGTGAAGATCAATCGATAAGAAAATCACTAAAAAAAGTCATGATATATTGTTAAGTGACTCGTCGTAACATGTAAATAATAAATGAATATTAGGGTTTCTGTAATCGAACTTTTTCTCAAAACGAGATACTCGCCGAAGTTTCAGAAACTCTAATCTCTCATCTAAACCAAAAAATAAAATATTCATAAATAGAAATGACATAAAAAAAAGACATAAAATTTAGATAAGAGGACTAGGTATTACCTTGATGCTCTGCTTATCTTCAATTGCTTCACACAGGAGTTGGTAAGAAATTTCTTGACTAGCTACTTTACTTCAAGTGACGAAGAGGATATAGGGTTAGGACATGACTTTATAGTGATTGAATAACAAAGGGTTGGCCCAATATTTATATAAGCCTAATATAAGCTCTAAGATAAGGCCTTTTTGAGGAAAAAAAATAATTTTATATATATTTAAAATTTAGGAGTTATTTAATTTAAAAGGGCTTAATTATATTTTTTGTCTCTATAAATATTGAGTATTTTGTAATAAGTCATTATAAATTTTTTTGTTAGGATTTAGTCCCTAAAATGTAGAAGATAGGATTTAGTTTCTGTTGTCAACTCCTCTCTATTAAATACTGAGTTAGTAGACAGAAAGTCAACTCAGCACTGTCACGTGACATAATGCGTTTGCCATGTTATTTAAATTTTTATTAATTAAAATTAATATTTACAATTAAGTCACTGAACACATTTTACATAAATTATAAATAAACTCATCTTCTTTCCCTTCCCCTTTCTGCTATTCCACCCCTTCCTCTTCCCCCTCCCTCTTCCCATATCTCCATTCCCACCCCTACCTTCTCTCTTTTCCCTTCCTCTTCCCCACATTTCCATTCCCACCACCCTTTCCCTTAAACCACAATCCCTCCTCCTCCCCATACCTCCATCTCCACCCCCTTTCCTAAACCACAACTCTTCCTCCTCCCCCACACCTTTCTCCACACCCCTTCCCATAAATCGCAACCTCTCTCCCTCCCTATCCAACCCTAACTTCAATTTTCACCCTCACACAATACTTATTATCAATATATTGTACTTTTATGTTCATTGAGATTATTTTAATTTCAACGGGGTCTCTGCATGTGTGCAAGCTTAAGATCTTATCCATATTCAAGATTACTTACTCAAGAAAAAAAAAAAGTTAGAGTTTTAAAATTTTACATACAAAAAAGGTGTATATTTTTTTCTCTAAAGTTGGGATTGGGATGTGAGGAAGGGTTGGGTAATGAGAAGAGAATGAGACTTAGAGTTAAGGTGGTAATTAGGATGTGAGAGGGGTTGGAGTTGGGTAACTAGAGTGGTGTGAAGGTTGGAGTTGGAGTGAGTAATGGAGAAAGATATGAGATTAGGATGTGGAGACAGGTTAAGATTAGGTAGCAAGAAAGGTGTGAGAGTTGAAGTTATAGTTAGAATTAGGATGTGAGGAGGGGTTGGAGTTGGAGTGGGAGAGAGATGGAAAGGTGTAAAGTGGGGGTAGGAGAAGAGTAAGAGTGAAGAATAGGTGCCAAAAAGGGTTAGGGTAAAATGAAGGAAGTGGTACCAAAAAAAGGTGGAGTTATGGGAAAGAGGAAGGGGAGGAGGGGTGAAAGTGGGAGATGGAGAAATGGTAGGAGTTCGGGTGAGAAAGGTGGAGGTTAGGGGTTGGGGGTTGGAGGATGGGCGAGGTAGGGCTACCACTACTGCTAAGAGAGAGGGGGTTGGGCTACTGTTGAGGAAGAGCGGTTAGGGAGGAAAAAAAAAGGCTTTTTTTTGCAAATATGTAAATTATGTTCAAGAAGTAAAGATTTATTTCATGTTATCAACTCTTTAAATGTTAAGCTAGTTGATAGAAAATCAATTCAACACTCCCACATGACATACATGTTATTTAATTTTTTATTTTATTATTTAAATTAACATTTATAAATAAGTTTATAAATATATTTCATATATTTACAAATAAGTCCTTTCTCCTCCCTTTCCGTTACTCCATCCCACACCCCAATCCCTCCATGTTCCTCATCCCTGTTCCTACCCTCACTCCTTGCTATTGATTTTTCTTTTTTTTGGTATTTTTAAGTTTTAAATAATGAATATAATGGGTACTTGATTGTTATAACTTTACAAAATATATATAGCTAGTTTTTCCTTTCTTTTAGTTTTCGAAGCTATGAGCATTAGGGAATTTGAACTTACTAAGTAACGAATAACCTAATTTTCAAAAAGGTATTGGAATAAAAAAAAATTATGTTTAGAATTTTGGGAAGCTATTAATGTAACTAAGGAGAAAGAATGTTGAGAATGAAAGAGAAGAAAATATTAAAGAATGACTTTTTTGCAAATATTTAAAATATATTCAAGAACTTGTTTGTAAATAATAGTTCTAAATAATAAAATATTAAAAATTTAAATGATATGGTAGTGACGTAAAAGTGCTAATCTTACTTTCTATTATATCAACCAGTTCAACACTTAATAGAAGAAAAATTGACAATAAAGACTATATTTTAATATTTTAATATTTCAAGGACTAAATACTAACAAAAAAATTATTAAAACTTATTATAAAATAAATTATATTTATAGGGATTAATCACATATTTAAGTGATGATATAAAATAAAATTAAAATAAAATAATATTTTTGTAATAAAAATAAATTATAAAACATTTTCCTAAACTAAAGATCTAATTATCTTTCAATTCTTTAAAATGTTAAGTTGCTTATTAAAATATCATAATTAATACATCTTTTTTTTTCTATTGATAATAAAATCAATTCATTTTATTTTTTCAAAATATTATTGATCTATAATCCTATTAATTTTTATTTCTAAAGGCTACTTTTGCTAATGCAATATTTACTATGAAGAATTGTTAAAGTTATTCTATAAATAACATGACTACTAAAAAAGTCCAATCTTTTTATATAATTGAGTATTTCAATTAATATATTATTGTTATTATAAAACTTTTAATTTTGAAAATAAATCTAAGTTTCTTCACCGTTGAGGGATTAATTATTGCTTAATTTTTTACTATCAAATACAACAAAATTATTACTCTATTGAAAAAAAAATATTGAAAGGGAAAGAAGATTAGGTGAAAGCCACTTCGATGTTATTTTAATTAGAAATTTGGAAAGATTTACAATATTAACATAAACTATAATAGATTTTTCTGTTTAGTTTTAAAATGTTTAATAATATAAAATATATAATTAATTAAG